ATAAATTGTAACTAATGGCTTTATTAATAGTATATTAATAACCTAGTACTGCTTTATAAAAACCTTTAATCAGTATAAACTATTAATTAGAACATCTTTGACCAAGTTGCGGATAGGTTTCTTTCAGGTCAACATGACAGCTTTGTGAGAGCTTTAGTGCAAATCAAATTTTAAAATTCATCCTCTAGATAGAAAGCTTGTAATGAATATAAGAGTAGACAATTTATTAACATTTATAACCAGCCAATGTTGCTCTAATGAATGCCTCAGAAATGACCTACAAAGTAAATGATGTATTAATCCTAAATAAAGAAATTATTCACAAGTGATTAGCTACAGAATATGAAACAAATCGAATAGAAAATAAATTGAGGGATAAATGATGCGCTGTTTGAAGGTGACAGTAATACCAGACAGTTTTTATGACTTTGTCTATTTTCCTCACTAATATATATTTTTTCCGAGGTATTTCAGATTCTGTCATGTGCTGTGGTCTTGAAATGCATCATGGTTTGAGGTTCACATCACAGCAGCCGCTACACATCCAAATTCTGCAGAGACTTGCTCAATGACAGCCAAAGAATGTGAGCCAGTTGACTCTGACATTGAGGACACATTATTCACTGCAAACCCTTTAATTAGGACTGTCTGAACTATGACCCTTGGAGAGGACATAGCCCGCACCGCTTCAGGTCAAGAGACAGAAGGAGGAAAAGGACAAGACCTTTGGTTTTGATGGATAGGCATAAGACAGGAAACAAACATTTTGAGGTTAATACATGTGCATACAAACACAAAGGAAGGTATCAATCTGCTGCACATGCATCTTGACAGCAACCTGAAATGTTTTGCTCCCTAAACCTGACCTCATGATGGACTCAGGATGCAAAAGTCAGTGCACCCACCATCCTCTCAAGATGTAGCACTTCAAACCCGTCACAATCTAGGCAGCATCTGTGTTGTTTATGTTCTAAATTTAATTGTGGAAAACATTCTACATAGTCATTTGTCTTCTTAGACATTGTTGCCTTAAGTTGCAATTTCCATTGTCAACTTGAGCGCATCTTCTTCTTCAGATGAAGTGGATCTCGCTATGTGTCTGTCTGACGGTGCAACATTTACTAAAACTGTAGGGGACTCAGAAGTAGTCTGCCCTGTAATCTGTGAACAAGAGCAAATGAAGCAGAACACAATGAGCCCTGATTTTTGATTTCTCTTCATTCACATGCCGGTAACTGGTGATAGAAATTAACCAAAGTGTTGTCTGGACCTAAAACACATACAAAATGTATCACTCTTCGTGTTTTAAAGTAATTCATTGGCAGACCAAAGATCAAGTCTTGGCCTGGATATCCACAGTCTGCATCGGAACAGAACATTATTGGCTTTTGCCCCCAGAGGCCAATTGAAGAGATTGAAAGAAGTAAAATAAAGAAATAGCTTGTTTATCTTCCACTGGGTTATTTGTGATTCCACATAATGCTGACTCTTGCATGTGAGAGCAGGTAACACAACAGCTGTGCAAGACCTGCTAGCAAACTGTGAAACATGCTGTTGATAGAGCTGGAGGTGAAGATTCCTCAGGTTTGGACTCAAGGATGAAGGATGTTTCTTTTAAAAGACCCCAGAATAT